TACCATTTTCTCTTAACATTTAGCATCTGGAATTGTGTGTGTGTGTAATGTGAGGTAGGAATCTAATTTTGTATTTTTCCATATCGTCAGCCAATTTGTCCCAGAGCTGTTAATTTAATAAGGGCATTCTTTCCTAACAAATTTGTAATGTCAACTCTGTAATATATCAAGTTTCTGGGACCCCTTTTCTATCCCACTGGTCTACCTATTTGTTTTTTTGTACTTATACCATGCTGCTTTTATTTCTGTAGTTTTTTACTAAATCAGTATTTGGTATGGCAAATCCCTTTCTGTATTTTTCTTCAAAATTGCATTGATTACTTCTGGTTAATTCTTTCAAGCCAGAATTTTAAGGCTAGTTTATCAAGTATCACCAAAAACCCTTTTGAAATTTTGATTGAAACTTCATTAAATGTATACATTAATTTAGAGAAAAATGCCATCTTTATATGCCTGAATTTTTCCATTCACCAACATGTTATAATCTCTCCATTTCTGTAGGTCATTTTTTTGTGTGTTGGAAGTAAGTTTTCTAATTTTCTCCGAAAAGATAATGTACATCTTTTGTTAATCTCTTGATATCATTGTTATTATTTATTATAGCAAGCAGATGCTATATGTTTATATTTACATTTTTAGATTGTTATATGATTTATAAAGAAATGCTACTGAGATATATATATATATATATATATATATATATATATATATATATATATTTCAGCAACCTTACTTTTATTAATTATAAAAGTTTGTCTTTAGATAGTCTTGAATTTTTAGAATGTGGTCAACCATGTCAGCCGTGATGATTCCATCTTTGTTTTTTCATTCCCAATTTTTATAGTAATTCTTTTGTTTACTTATCTTGTTTTGGGCTCTCCATTACCAGGTTGAATGGAAGTGGGTGGTGATAGTGGCAAAGTTGTCTTGTCCTTGGTTTTAGAATTACATTTTCTAAAATTTCACTCTTAAGTATGTTTGCTGTAGATTTTTGGTGGCTAGGCACTATTTATCATTTTAAAGGAGTTCCCATCTATTCTTAGTTTGCTAGCAGTTTTAAACATTCTTCAATGTTGAATGTCATTTATACTTTTATCTTCCTTTGAAAAGATGAAAGTAACGAACTTTTAAAAGAACTTTTAAAACATTTCTCTATTCTGTGAATATTTTTGATTGCAGGTACTTATTGAGAGTGAGCAAATGAGAAAAGAAGCTGATGACTCAGGCCCACTCACTGAACTGGAGCACTGGAAGCGCATGTCAGCCAAATTCAATTACATCATTGAGCAGATTAAAGGGCCGAGTTGTAAGGCTGTCATAAATGTGCTTAATGTTGCACACTCCAAACTGTTAAAGGTAAAAGGCCTGTATTTTAAAGTTTGATATACTTCAGAACAACCAACTAGAAAATTATTCTTCTTGAACTGCTTCTTTGCATCATATATGAACATCATGTATGCAGAAGTATTCATCTTTGAGTAAGGCTTTCTCATAGAATAAGTTATTTCCAGAAGAGGGAAATGAAGTATAGAAATGAAAATTTAGTCCTCAATATTTTGCACACCCATTTTAACAGTACTACTATAAAATGATTGCTATTAAAAAATTTTTTTTGAAGTTGTAAATCAACAGAGGCTTGTTGAGGTCAAGAACTACATGAGAAGTCAAAAGCAAAAATGCCTTTTCTTCATACATTTCACTTTTTCCTAGAGGTTATCTTTATTAACAGTTTAGCTTGATTCTTTCCAGTTTCTTTTCTTTTTCTTTACTCTTCCTTAAAAAATTATATATTTAGCCCTAGCCGGTTTGGCTCAGTGGATAGAGCATTGGTCTGCAGACTGAAGGGTCCAGGGTTTGATTCTGGTCAAAGGCACATGCCTGGGTTGTGGATTGATCCCCAGTGGGGGGCCTGCAGGAGGCAGCCAATTAGTGATTCTGTCTCATCATTGATGTTTCTATCTCTTTCTCCCTCTCCCTTTCTCTCTGAAATTAATATAAAAATATTTGTTAAAAATAAAAAAATATGTAAAAATATGTCTTTATAGCAAACTAGAGGCCTGGTGCATGAAATTCATACATGGAGGGAGCGGGGCAGGTCCCTCAGCCTGGCCTGCACCCTCTTGCAATCTGGGACCCCTCAGACATCCTTCTCGCAATCTGGGACTGCTGGCTCCGAACCACTCTCCTGCCTGCCTGATTGCCCCTAACAACTTGCCTGCCCCTAATGGCTCACCTGCCTGCCTGATGGCCCCTAAACCCTCTGCCTGCCTGTCTGATTGCCCCTAACCACTCGCCTGCCTGCCTGATCTCTCCTAACCACTCGCCTGCTGGCCTGATTGCCCCTAACCACCTCTGCCTTGGCTCCCACTGCTGCGGCTTTGTCCAGAAGGACGTCCAGAAGGTCGTTCAGCTGTCCGGTTTAATTAGCATATTATGCTTTTATTATTATAAGTAATACATGATTTTTTGTAAGAGATTTAAACATTGCAGATAAAACAAGTGTCTCTCTTTAAAAATTAAATTTATTGGGGTAAAATTGGGTAATAACATTATAAGGTTTCAAGCATACAATTCTATAATGCATCATCAGTATATTGCATTGTGTGGTTACCACCAAAAGTCTAGTTTCCTTCCTTCCCCATATATTTGACCCCCTTTATACACTTCATCCTCCCTGACCCCCTTTCACCTATGATAACCACCATACTGTTGTCTGTGTTTGAGTTAAAACAAGTCTCTCTTAATCACACACCTTCCCACCCCTTAACTCCTGTTCCTGAATGATAAGTACAGAGAGATAACCACAATTTTTTATTTGTTGGTTTTTAAAAATCTTTATTGTTGAAAGTATTATAGATGTCCCGTTCTTTCCCCCATTGACTCTCTCCAACCTGCTCCCACTCCCTCCCCAGGCTTTCACAGCACTATTGTTTGTCCATGGGCTATGCATATAAGTTCTTTGGTTAATCTCCCTCCCCCGCCTCCACCTGTCTCCCTCTCACTCCTTCTGAAATACATCAGTCTTTTGCATGCTTCTATGTCTCTAGATCTATTTTGTTCATCAATTTATTTTGTTCATTAGATTCCACATATGAGTGAGAACATGTGATACTTGTCTTTCTCTGACTGGCTTATTCTGTGATATTTATATACTAGAGGCCCGGTGCATGAATTCATGCACCAGTGGGGTCCCTTGGCCTGGCCTGCGGGATCGGGCCAAAATGGGTTCTTCGACCTCCCCTGAGGGGTCCCGGATTGTGAGAGGACACAGGCTAGGCAGAGTGACCCCACTGGTGCACAATCAGGGCTGGGGAGGGACATGGGAGGGCTCCAGGGTGTGTCCGACCCATCTTGCTCAGTCCCAATTAGCCAGAACCCAGCAGCAAGCTAACCTACCAGTTGGAGCGTCTGCCCCTGGTGGTCAGTGCACGTCATAGTGACTGGTCGACAGGTTGACTGTCTGCCCCCTGGTGGTCAGTGCACATCATAGTGAGCAGTTGAGTGGCCTTAGCATATCATTAGCATATTATGCTTTGATTGGTTGAATGGCCGACCAGATGACTGGACACTTAGCATATTAGGCTTTTATTATATAGGATGAGTATACTACCTACATATAAAATTACATAATTTTATGTTTCTGTTTTTTATAACATAGTGTCATAATGTATTATTCTTCAATTCCCTCTTCTCCTAATAGCATATTTTTAAAAATTTTTATTGTTGAGAGTATTACAGATGTCCCCCTTTTTCTCCCCACTGCCCTCCTGCACCCAATTCCCACCCTGCCCCAGGCCTTCAGCACCCTATTGTCTGTGTCCATAGGTAATGTATATATGCACATAAGTTCTTTGGTTAATCTCTTCCCGCCCCCTGCTCCTCACTTACCTCTGAGATTCCTCAGTCTGTTCTGTGTTTCCATGCCTGTGGTTCTATTTTATTCGTCAGTTTATTTTGTTCATTGCATTTCTTGTTCATTTATTTTGATTTTTACATTCATTTGTTGATAGATATGTATTTATTACCATTTTATTGTTCATATTTTTAATATTTTTTCTCCTCCTCCTTCCTGGTGTGACCTAGTGGTTGAATGTCAACCCATGAACCAGGAGGTCAAAGTTTGATTTCTGGTTAGGGCACATGCTTGGATTGCAGGCTCAATCCCAAGTAGGGGACATGCAAGAGGCACATGATCGATGATGTTTCTCATCAGTGTTTCTATTTCTCTATCCTTCTCCCTTCCTCTTTGAAATCAATAAAACTATATTTAAAAAAAAGAATACCCTTCAACATTTCATGGTAATGAAACTAGTAATACTGGTTTGGTGGTGATGAACTCCTTTAGCTTTTTCTTGTCTGCGAATCTCATCATCTGACTTTCAATTTTAAATGATAGTTTTGCTGGGTAGAGTAATTTTGGTTGTAGGTCCTTGCTTTTCATCACTTTGAATATTTCTTGCCACTCCCTTCTGGCCTGCATAGTTTCTCTTGAGAAAACAGATGATAGTTGTATGGGCGCTCCTTGTAGGTAACTAACTGCTTTTCTCTTGTTGCTTTTAAGATTCTCTCTTTGTTTATAACCCTTTGCATTTTAATTATGATGTGTCTTGGTATGGGCCTTTTTGGGTTCATCTTGTTTGGGACTCTATTTCTTTCACCAGGTAGGGGAAGTTTTCTATCATTATTTCTTCAAATAGGTTTTCAATATCTTGATCTGTCTCTTCTCCTTCTAGCACTCCCATGATGAGAATGTTGGTATGCTGAAGTTGTCCCAGAGGCTCCTCACATTATCTTCATATTTTTGGATTCTTTTTGTAATTCTGATTGGGTGTTTTTGCTTCTTTATATTCCAAATCACTGATTTGATTCTCAGCATCTTTGACTCTGCTGTTGATTCCCTGAAATAAAGAGTAAATTATTCTTTTTTCCCCCACTACTATATTTATTCAGCTCTTCCAGTGGGATTTTCTGTTAGTAAATCTGCTACTCAGTTATCTGCTATGTATATGGATGCAAAAGTGGATGACCACTTAATGCAAGGGACTGAGAAAAGCAAGCTGGAACCAGTGACCCAGTTATTTCAAAACACTAAGAAAATAAGATTAGAAGACCCAAACCAAGAAAACCTTACAAGAGAGAAAGAGACTGGCCCAGGCTCTCTTTCCGAGAAAGCCTTGTGTTCAGTAGTTTATGTTAAAGAAAGTGATTGAATAGAAATGACAGATGTGGAATGAAGTTGTTTGTACCTATTACCACAGAAATCAAAACTTGCTTTTGACTAAGAGGGCATATTGATTGAGAACTTAACCTCAATAGGAAAACCTAACAAAATGAAGGAAGATGTTTGCTTCCCCCCACTCCCCCACTGTTTATAAATCACCGTAGACTGCATTTTTTGATGATACATACTTAAAACAGTTGCTTTAGGGAGAAAAAGCTTTCCAAAATTCAAGTAAATTATTCTTTAATTCAGTTAATTATGCTTAATTTCTGACTGGTCCTTTTTCATGTCTTTGGTATTCTAAGATCCTTGAGAGTCTCACTAAACCCATTGAAGCTCTCATTAAGATCTTTGAGCATTCTTATAACCATTCTTATAACTTGTTTTGAATTCTGTATCTAGTAGTTTGCTTGCTTCCACTTTATTTAGTTCTTTTTCAGGGGGCCTCTTCTGTTCTTTAATTTGTGATATGTTTCTTTGTTTCCACATTTTGGCTACTTCCCTGTGTTTGTTTCTATGTATTAGGTAGAGCTGCTATATCTCCTGGAATTGGTAGAGTGGCCTTGTGAAGTAGGTGTCCTGTAGGGCCCAGTGACTCAGCCACCCCAGTCACCTGATCTGGGCACTCTAAGTGCGCCCCTGTGTGGGCTGTGTGCATTGTCTTGTTGTAGGTGAGCCTTGATTGCTGTTGGCATCACTGGGAGGAATTGACCCCCAGGCCTATTGGCTGTGAGTACTAGCTGTGACTACAGCAGAAGAGCTGCTGTGCAGGAGACACCCCTATGGAGCAGGAGTTGCTTCAGTGGGGCTTTGGTGCTTACTGAGTCTGCCTCTTAAATGTGTCACTCCTGGGTGTGTAGAGTTGTAATCTGGGGTGATCTGAAGCTGTCCACCAGGTGCACTGGCTCTGGGGCCTCCCAATAGGAGCTACGGAATGATCTGCAGGTGGCTGCTACTTTTGTTGGGCTTGGAAGTGGCCAGGCGAGGCCCAGCTGTGAAGCAAGGTGGGCTGGTGCTAAGGCTGGGTCTTGGGCCTTTTACTGATAGATTTGGGGCATGCTGACCCAATCTGCTGCTTGTTTGAAAGATTTTAGGAAAGAGTGAAGCCTGGGCCAGGACAGGCCATTCAAATGGAAAAAGTGCTGCTAACAGCTTGGGTGGTACTATAACTTGGGTAGGTCAGGGTCTTAGAGAATCATCAGGGTGGAGTGAACAGTGTGAGTCAGGTTGATGGAGACTCAGATACGGCAACTACCAGTCAGCTCTGTGATGGGGGAGGTCTCAGCATAGGAACAATGACCCCTTCAAGATCCTTTTTCTTGGAGAAAGCCACTCCTGAATTCTTGCCCTGATGCCAGACAATCCAGTTCCTCTCCATATGTCCCTGGGTCCCCTCCAAGCCATTGTCCCAGCTCTGGAGCTCAGGGGGAGCAAGTCTGAGTAAGTCTGTGCACCAGCCCTTTAATAGTAATCTGGGTCTCCAGTAGTCTCCTTGTCACTCAGCCACATCACTGCTGATTTTTTACAGCCTGAAATTATGGGGACTTCTCTTCCCAGCTCTGGAACCCTGGGCTGGGGGCCTGGTATGGGGCTGGGACTCCTTGCTCCTCATGGGAGGCCTTTGCTGCCAAGATATCCATCCCAATTAAAAAAATGCCACACGTGGGTGTCAGACCAGTCTGTTTTGCCCCTACACCCCTCCTACCAGTCTCAATGTGCTTTCTTCTTTAGTTCTCTAGTTGTAGGACTTTCATTCAGCCAGATTTCAGGCAGTTCTGAATGATGGTTACTCTGTATTTTAGTTGTAATTTTGAAGTGGTTGTGGAAGGCCATGAGTACTGTATTTACCTATGCTGCCATCTTCCTTTCCTCCCCAATATCATGTCTTAGAGAGTTATGCTGGTCAGACTGAGCTGTGTAGTTTTCCAGAATGTTAATACACTAGATTTTATCTAATAATTTTCCTATCCTATATAATAAAGAGCTAATATGCAAATGGTCGTCACACCCTCATGCCACCACACTCAACAACTGGGGAGAGAGGAATACCAGCCAGGCACAAGTGAGCTTGTGAGAGAGGAATGGGGACCAGCCAGGCTGCGGCCCAGGAGAGGGACAAGCCGCCTGCCCCATGGTCCCAGGCACCAGCAGGTGTGCCTGCACCTGTGGCCTGGCGGAGGGACAATCTGCCTGCCCTGTGGTCCTGGGTGCCAGTGCCTGTGGCTGCAGCCTGGAAGAGGGACAAGTGCCCACCCTGTGGTCCCAGGTGCTTGCGGCTGCGGCCTGGGCAAAGCTGCCTGCCCATGGTCCGCTGTGGCTGTGGCTGGCCCGGGCGAAGCTGGCCTGGGTCCTGGGTGACTGCAACCGGCTGGAGGAGGGAATCGTGGGTCCTGGGTGTGGGGCGACGTAGAGGTGTTTAGGGGTGATCAGGCCAGCAGGGGAGCAGTTGGGGGCGATCAGACTGGTAGGGGAGCAGTTAGGGGCAATCAGGCAGACAGGCAGGCAGAGGTGGTTAGGGATGATCAGGCAGGCAGAGGTGGTTAGGGGAAATCAGGCAGGCAATCAGAGTGGTTAGGGGCAATCAGGCAGGCAGGGGGAGCAGTTGGGTGCGATCAGACCAGTAGAGGAGAGGTTAGGGGCAATCAGGCAGGCAGGCAGGCAGGCGAGTGGTTAGGGGCCAGTGGTCCTGGATTGCGAGAGGCAGTTGAACATCTCCCAAGGGTTCCCGGATTGGAGAGGGTGCAGGCCGGGCTGAGGAACCCTCCCCCCATGCATAAATTTTGTGCACCGGGCCTCTCGTTTATATATATAAAAGCCTAATATGCAAAGTGTCCCCTTGGGAGTTCGACCGACCAGGAGTTCAATTGCTTGCTATGATATGCGCTGACCACCAGGGGATGGTGGGGAACAAAGAAAGGCCCTGGCCAGCAGCCGGCAGCCAGAGAAGAGAGGCCCCAGCTGTCAGCCAGCAGCTGCTAGGGACCCTACCCGTGCACGAATTTCGTGCACTGGGCCTCTAGTTTATAGATAAATAGGAAAGACAGTTTTATTTCTTTTTTTCCCAACAGTGTTAACTATAGGTGAGCCTTGATTGCTGTTGGTGTCAGTGGAAGGAATTAATATGTAGCCTTAATATGTCAATTCACATACTATTTATTTCTCCTATTTAAAGAGTACAATTCACTGGCTTTTAGTATATTCACATAGTTGTGCACCCATAACCATAATCAATATTAGAACATTTTCATCATTTTGTCACCTCAAATAGAAACCCTGTACACTTTAGCTGCCACCTCCCATTTTCACCCATCTCTCCCCTTCCCCGGCCCCCCTGGGCTAAGTAACTACCAGTCTACTTTTTACCTCTATTTGCTTATTATGGGTGTCCTATATAATAAAAGCATAATATGCTAAGTGTCCGGTTGTCCAATTGGCCATTCAACCATTCAAAGCCTAATATGTTCATGATATGTTAAGGCCTCTCAACTGCTCGCTATGACGTCCACTGACTACCAGGGAGCTAACCTCCGACTGGTAGGTTAGCTTGCTGCTGGGGTCTGGCTGATTGGGACTGAGCAAGACAGGCTGGACATGCCCTGGAGCCCTCCTGCGTCCCTCCTCGGATGCAACCTCCCTCGTCATCCCTAGCCCCAGTCGTGCACCAGTGGGGTTGCTCAGCCTGGCCTGTGCCCTCTCTCAATCTGGAACCCCTCGGGGGATGTTGGAGAGCTGGTTTTGGCCCGATTCCTTAGGCCAGGCCAAGCGACCCCACTGATGCATGAATTCGTGCACCGGGCCTCTAGTTTTATATAAATGGAATAATCTTAATTGGCTTCTTTCACTTAAGATAATATTTCCAAGATTTATCCATGTTGTAGCATGTATCAGCACTTCATTCCTTTTTAACAGCTGAATAATATTCCATTGCAAATGATATCACATTTTATCACTTTATAGACATTTGGGTTTCCACTTTTGGCTATTGTGAACAATACTACTGTGAACATTCTTGTACAGGTTTTTGCATGGAGATATGATGTACGAGTAGAATTTCTGGGTCAGATGCTAACTCTGTATTAAAGTTTTTGAGGAAAATGGTTTCTTTTTATGTGTTAACAAACACTGCTGCAGTTAGAACTTCTATATGCATACATGCAAGTATTTCCCTAGGTTGTATACTCGGCAACTTTGTCAATACTTACTAACAGTTACATTTTTTTCTCCAAACTGACATGTGGAAATGGCTTGTTGTATTTGCCTTTTCTTATTAATAGTGAAGTTGTCATTTTTTAAAGTTTATTGGCTATTTGCATTTCTTCTCTTGTGAATTAACTGTTTATATTTTTCCTCAATTTAAAAAATTCAGAAGTTATTTTATACAGATTCTGGGAGTTCTTTATTACTATTGCTATCAACCAGTTGTTATATATGTTGAAGGAAGCAATCCACCATGGTCCCAGAGCATCTCTGGACAGTCTTGCTGGATTTGAAGTTCACTTTTCTGATAAGGAATATTTTCTTGGAATAATGTTCTGTTTTCATAACTTGACCCATACTTGAATAACCAGAATAATGTATATAGCTAACCTAGACAAATCATTCCAAGTTGAAGCAGATCCAGTTTAAGCCTACAGACAGGATATTTATTACCAATGGAATGAATCTTCAGTTTAGTGCATTTAAAATATTTATAACTTTAAGTCTTAAATAATATAATAAAAAGATATATCAACCACATTTAACTACTACTTCAGTATATATATTGAGTTTCTTGATTAAACTTTAGCATGCTCATATATTTGGATGTGTCATAGAATTCTTATACATTTTCTTCTTAGAATTGGCGTGACTTGGATGCAAGAATCACAGACACAGCAAATGAATCAAAAGATAATGTCAGATATTTGTACACTCTAGAAAAAGTATGTCAACCTCTCTATAACTATGATCTAGTAAGTATGCTTTTAAAAGTGTAGCTTAAAAATTACC